CTTCCTGCAACAAACTGTAATATTCATCGATTTTTTGTTGATGATGATTAAATTCTTCGTGCAAAGCTTGAAGTTCTTCAGCGGTAAAACCGGCTTTTTCTGCTTTTTCCCATAACTGATTCAATCTTTTATCTTTAAAAAGAGATTTATTTATATATGAAATTGATGGATCATTCATTGCTTTATAAACTTTAACTTTTTTCGGATCATTTACATCCTGAAAGTGTTCTAGGAGACTATAAGTACTCATAATTCCAATTAATTTTTCTCTCAATTCCGCTTCCTTTAATCCATCTTTATCATTTCCGTCTGATTTAAATCTTTTCCATGCTATTTCTTCTTTATCGTGAATTTTTAAATCACTAAATAAAGACTTTAACTTTACATCTGTCAATCTCTATTTAAAAAAAAAAAAAAAGAAAAAGTCATCAAGTATTAGTATTAACGACATATTAAAAGTGTTTTCAACAAACATCTCAACTTACTCTTTGTGCTTTTGACCATAATAAATTTAATTTAGCCATTCTAAATGGTTTATCCAAAGTACGAAAATTAACATTAGGATTTAATACCCATGGTTTGTCAGGAGGTTTTAAATTAGCTTCAGCAGAATATTTACTAATAGTTTTACCAAAGTCGACCATTGTTAAAACTATAAGAACTATTCCTATTTGTTTGATCATGGTACCCTGTTTATAAAAATGTAGAAATAAGTTTATACATCGATTAAAAACAGTATAATAAAATTTTAAAACTAAAATTTTTAATCAAATTACCAAATTAAATATGAGATAATCTCAAGTTTTAAAATATTCTCTATGGCTTAATTATAATTAAATAAAGTGAATAGGCCAATACATACACCCAAAAAAAAAAAATAATCAAAAGTAATTCTTTAATTTTAATTTCAGCGATAAATTAAACACTTATTTAAATAAATATCACTAAAATTAATTAAATTATACTTAAATTAAAGGAAAAAATTTTATTATAAAACTTTATTTTTAATTTAATATTATAATAAAGTTGCTAATTTGTTTAGAGTAGTTGTTGAACTCAATTTAATCAACGTTGCCAAATTTACACAGTATTATTCATTACGTTATGTACCTAACCTATGAAATGCCTTTTCACTGACAATTTTTTTTTTTTTTTTTTTTTTTAGTGTAAAACTTACTTCTGCATTTAAAAAAAAAAAAAATTATTAATATTATTATAATATTTTAAACAATTTATTTTTTTCTTTGTGTTGTTTTATAATTAACATAGTGCAAAGTTGTTTTTTTTTTTTTTTTTCCAACTGCAAATTCATCGTTGCAAACTTTTAATCACTTAATTGTTACTAATAATGTTAAATTAATAAGCATTAATTTTCATTGTGTATGAATTGTTTAAAAAAAAAAAAATGGATCACGAGGAAATAAGTTGGACGGGTATGATATGATTCAACATTTATTTTTATGATTTTTTTTTTTTTTTTTTTTTTTATAAAATTAAATTTAGAATTTTTTTTTGTCAGATGCACGAGATTTATTGAGACAATGGAGAGAAGAAAATGTAAGAAAAAGCAGAGATATTGTGCATTTATGGGAACATGTTTTAGTACATAAAGAGCACAAATTGGGAGATGAAAGTGAATATCATGTTGTTTTGCATTTCTTCCTTATTATTACATTTACTCAATCAATTATTTATGAAATGACGCCTTTGTTAATTTCTTACAGGATTTATTATTCTAGAGCAAGTTTGTATTGCTGCTGCAGATGTAAATAGAATAGATTTAATAGATCAATGTTTAATTAGTTTGCATAATGAATTTCCAGGAAGTTTAAGAGTTAAAAGATTACAAGTTTTGAAACTGGAATTAAGCGAAAAGTAATTACCTAATAATTTTTTTTTTATTACAAATGTTGATATTTAATAGAAAAATTTGTGACGACAAAAACAAAATTCAAACAAAATTCTTTTTTTTTTTGATGTTGATTGATTGTTTTAACAAATTTAATTTAATATTTATAGATATGATGAGGCATTAAAATTTTTGGATGAATTATGTAAAATTGATGAAACCAATCCGGCTCCGAGAAAAAAACGAGTGGCAATTTTTAAAAGCAAAGGAAATATACACGAAGCTATTAGGGAATTAACGGAATATTTAAAAAAGTAAATTAATGAAAAATTTCTAATCAGGAAATCATTTCAAATCAAGAATTTAAAAAAAAAAACTTTTAAAAAATTCTTTTAGGTTCATGAGCGACGAAGAAGCATGGCAAGAATTAAGCGAATTATATTTGTTGGAACAAGATTATGCGAAGGCAGCTTTTTGCATAGAGGAAGTTATTTTAATTAATCCTCATAATCATCTTTATCACCAAAGATTTGCCGATATAAAATATACACAGGGAGGATATGATAATTTGGAAATTGCAAGATCGCATTATTGCCTAGCAATTAAACTTAGTCCGAATAATATAAGAGCTTTATACGGACTTTTTTTGGTAATTATTAATGTTTAAATCGATGAAATGGAAAAATTTTTTTTTCCCCTTAATTTTTGTAAATTTTTTTTGTGTTGTAAAATTTCAGTGTGCTGCTAACATAGCTGTGAATCAAAAAACACAATCTCAAAAGAAAAAAGAATCGAGTAAATTGGCAGCTTGGGCTTTGAAACAATTACAAGGAAAATATTCGGAAATGAGTTCTTTGAAAAATTGCGTGAGTTCTTTGGAAGGTCTTATGACTAATCTTCAAATAACATCTCCTTAATACCACCACACTTTTATTCAGTTTTTTTCTTTTTATTATTTTATTCATTTCATAAATGGCTATCATACAGTCAATTGATTTAAAGTTGTTTTAAGAATCTTTTTAAATAAAAAATATTAGCAATAATATAAATACCTTTTTGCTTAAGTTACTATTTATAATAATTTAAAGTTTTTTTTTTTTTTTAAATTGTTACCGAAACAAAAATTTTACAATCAAATTTTTTTTATTTATTTAAATTATTAAAATTTAATATGAGATAAAAGATGTTGTTGTGGGTAAAGTTTTATTGTGGATAAAACATTATCATCATCATCATCGCATTAGGATTTATTATTAAATTGTGATAAATTGACTTTTTTTTTTTTTTTTTTTGTCGCTAAAAGAAAACCAACAAAAAACAATTGAATAGTTTTTTTTTGATTAGGTTATGGTTAAACAAAATATTAATATAAAGCTCAAAGAAATTATTATTTATATTATTAGTTATTTTTAATAAAATATAAATTTGATATCGATAATCTGTTTAATTATTTCTCTTTAATTTGTTGATAACAAAACTTAAATATCGTTTATGATTTTATCGAATAATATTTATACAGATTAATTTGTAATGAATGCCAATTTTTTTTTTTTCAATTTAATTTATAATTATATATATATATATATATATATTTATTAAAAGAATTCTTTGAGCTTATGTAATAAAATTCGAATACAAATAAATTTAAAAATTAGCTTTAAATTAAATTTATAAATGTTGTGTAATGCTGCTGCCTAAAATTATTTGCCTTGAAAGTTATTAAGGATATCAGTATTGTGTAGGGCTCGGGTTTTTTCTTTTTATATTATTATTATTATTAGAAATTTTTTTTTTAATTAAAAGATACCATAAACAAATATGTATATTAATTATTATTATTATTATTATTTCATTTATTATTCGAAAAAAAATTAAAAATTTTTATTTACTCGATATTTGTTATGAATTTCATTGAATTTTAATTTTTGTTTCGATGAATTGGATAATTGCAATTGTTTGAATTGTTTGAAAGCTCCTTACAATAATATCAAATAATAATAATAATTATGTATATATATATATATAAATAAGGAAGAAAAATAAATAAAAAAGGTTCAGTTGTAAGTTTTATTTAAAAAACAATATAATGTTTAATCGATATACATAAAAACAAAGAGCATGATTTATTATTTTTAAATTTACATTTATATATATATATATATGAATTATCTCGACAAAATCATATTATTATTATTATTTTGTGTAACACCTCCCCACCCCTCACCCCTCACTTAAATACAGGTGACAATTTAATATCATAATAATATTAACACTTTATTTTTTATTATTATTAACATATGTTATTAATTATTATGTAACAAATTAAAAGTTTGGTGGTATATGCTTTCATTTTCTAACTAACAATTTATTAAAATGAATGGTTAAGGTATTTTTATCTTGAATAACTCTTTTTCTACCTTGATTTACCTTGATTTAAAAAAAAAAAAACTCAGGGTTATAGATGATAACATTTATTCACCATCTTAATTCGATTAATGATTGATTTGTTTTCTTTACTGTCAAAATTATTATTATTATCAATTTAAACTAAACATTTAAGCCAAAAAAGGCACATCCATACATCTTTTTGTTTATAACAACCCTGTAAAAGAATATGTGTAACAAATTAAATTTTTTTTTTTTTATTTAAAAAAATACATTTTCACGATTTATATTATTTTTATTTATCAATTTTATATGATAATATTAAATTTACATTTAAATATTTCCAAAGAATTTTATTATACACGAGAGAGATAATTAATAACCTAAAAAAAAAAAATTATAAAAAATTTAATTAATTTATTTATTTATTTATTAAAATTACAACTTTTATTTTTGCATTGATAATTAATCGAATTTATTCCCATTAATTGAACTACATTGAACATATTTGGATTTGATTATAAAACTTCCCTATTGAATATTTATTTTCATCTATAATCAATTTATTTATTTAATTATAAAATTTATATATTTATTATTTAAAAAGAACTAATAAGTAAGATGATAAATTATAGGTTTTAAACCTTTACAAATATCAACAAAAACTGTTTTTCCTTATTGATGAAAATGAATTTTTTTTTTTTATATCATTAAGCAAGACATTTTTTGATATATTTAAATATTTTACGATATATACTTATATATATATTTTCTTCTCATTTAAAAAAAAAAAAAAAAAAAAAATACTATAAAAAATACTGTGTGACTTTTAGGTAAAATGTCCGTTAAAAATGGCGTTAAATGTGTATTTCCTGTTGACATTTTTTTTTTTGGTTATTATTAAGGCGCGAAAAAATAAAATATATATATATATGAATGACAGTATTATACGATTAAAAGAGAAGACGGGAATAATAATAATAAACTTGTTAGCTACACAATTTCAAATTACTTAAAAATAAAAGTCTATTTCACTTCACGATAGGTCTATAATATAACATAAGATCCGTTGAAGATTTCCAAATAAAATGTTTAACCGTCCTTAAATCCATATTTGGCTCTAAAACTTTTTCATTGCAAATTAATTCAACTTTATCTTCTGCTAATGAACTTGTTTCCTGTCTTTCCGCATCCGTTCTTTCCGATCCCGGGGAATTCCCCCCATCCACCACCACCACCACCTCCTCCTCCTCCTCCTGTAACAGGTACCGAATCACCGCCGGCGTTTAAAACTTTTTCATACACGTGTTCCGCCACTTTTCTTACTTGAATAAAATCGTTGGCAACAAGTCTATCCCTGAAAAAAAAATTCAAATTTTTAATTTTTTGATCGTCTTGTTGATTAAAAACGACCGTGAATGACCGCGTACTTTTTCATTCCCTTATTAATGACATACGAAGAATGTGGTAATAAATAAAATGGAATTTTAATAAATTTAGGAAGATTTTTTTCTACTACTATGTCCACAACCCAAGGTGGTACCGTTTCGTTAAGGAGTCCGCCCTCCGTATCCCCTCCGGCGTCTTTCACTAATAATCGACAAAGCGTACGTCCATTAACTTCCCTAAAATAATGGTAAATTTAATTATTTCTTGGAATTATTTATTAAATGCTGTTTATTTATAAACTTACCCGAATATTACAGGTGTGTGACCGGGAACTGAAAAATATTCGTTACCACTAATGACTTGCCCGGAATTGCTTGGTTCGTCGTTATCGCCATCTTCAGGCCTCAACGTTCGCCACCATTTTTCTAAAAGCGCTTGAAGAAGCAAATTTCCATAGTTGACTTTTTGATCAACCGAATCATCCGGAGCAAGACCAGCTTCTTTTGCAGAAACCCATGCAGAAAAACAATCACTCTCGTCTTGTCCCAAATGAATAGTCAACATCTAAAAAGAAAAAAGAGTTTGAAGAATTTTTCAAAAAAGTAAGTTAAATTTATATAAAAAATTTTTTTTTTTTGTTACTTACTCCAGTCTTTAAGTCTACGTTAAACCAATTTGGAACATAAACTATTTTAGTCCTTTTTTTCAATTCCTCATCGAAATCAATTTTTCCCAACTCTTCTAATTTCCTAGCCTAACATTACGAAATGAATGAAATAAGAATGAAAAAAGGATATTAGGTATGTGTAAAGACAATTAAATGTGAGAAAGCGAACCAACCTTAAGAACATCATACACAGTAACATTTCCTTCAGAGTCTTTAGTAAGAATGTGTCTTTTGTCATTCAATACTTCAAACCTTCTAACTGCAGAACCACCTTTAATTATGTGTTCGGGTCTTTCGTTGAATGGTCTTAAATTTTCGTTGTCAGAATCATTTAGCTGAAAATCCCTTTTTGGAATAGCCTAACAGACAAAATTAAATTTAAATTAGTGTTTAGGTTAGTTAAATGTTTTTAAATGTAATTCATACCCAATTTTTAATCGAAGAACTTGAAGTAGCAACCCATAATGTTTCTTGATCAGGCGTCATAACCATTTTTAAAACAGGATCAGTTTCTTCACAAATTAAAACCCTTCTTTCCGGTAACCGAATGTCAGTCATATAAATTTTTTTATCTCTTCCGCCAGAAATGACATGAGTGAAATTTTCAGTTGCCTAAAAAGAGATTTTAATTGTTTCATGTAACTAACTTTTACTTAATTCAATTTTTCTTAATGAACAATAATGAATGGTTTAAAGCTAATAAATGAGTAATATTTACAAGCAAAGCCCACACTCCTTTATCGTGAAACTGAAATGTTTGAATACACCTCTGCTGACCTAAATTCCATAACTTAATGGTACCATCTGAACTTCCTGATAAACATTGTGTTCCATCTCTATTGACAACTAATGCTTTCACATTATCAACATGGCCTTTAAGTTTCATTTGTTTTGTACAACTTCTCGGATCCCAAACCCTAATAACTTTTTCCGTACTTCCGCTTAAAATAATAGAACCGGAGGGATTCATAGCCAAACTGTATATTGAGTCTTTAATTCCAGGAAGTGAAGATGCTAATGGTGTTGTAATTGAAAAATTGTGACTATTACTATGTAAAATGAACTCTAAAATTACTTTTACACATTGTGAAAACTTACTAGTAACTGTATTATTGCTAGCCGTCAGTGCTGTAAGAGTGTTAACATCCCATAAAAATATAGCTCTATCCAAGCCAGCAGATGCAACTTGTTCTTTATCTTTAGCATAAGCTAAGGCTTTTACATAGTCTTTATGAGTTCTTAAAGTGGACATACAAAAACCTTTAGGTGCATTCCAAACTTTAACAGTCGTATCTGAGCTTGCAGATATTACTAAGTAAACAAATAGCATATTATTAAAGTTTGACTTTATGATTTGATTGTTGATTTTTATTTAATTAGATAAACTTAATAATGTTACATAAGTTAAACTTTATGTAATTGCACAAATTAAGTCGAATACTAACAATTTTTCCCATTACAACATAAAACAATGTCATTAACCCAGTCTGTGTGATGTTCCATCGATTGAATATATGGCTCCTTTAAGTTTTTACAATTCCATATTCTAATAATACTATCATGCCCTGCAGAATAAAGTCTATGAAAATTAGAATCATATTGTAAAGAACTAACTCCAGCTCTATGCCTCCTTTCCACTTCATCTCTTATTACAAAAGAAACCTAAAATAATAAAATTATTATTATTATTATTTTCATTCAAATCCAAGCAAAATTATTATTGTAAGACCTTTTAATCGACTCATGTCTTTGGAAAAAAATCACTTATGCAATCCCAGTTTTAAGTTTTTATTTAAAACAAATTAATTTTGAAAATAAATACCGCAATAATTGACGTTTAAACAATTTACCTGTACTTTTTTCCTCCCATTTTGACCACCACTTTTATGAGAAGTCATTTTAATAGGGGGGGAGGGGGAGGGAAAAAAACTAATATTTTTGCAATTATATGCACTACCTATAAATAAATATAAAATTAGAGATTTTAAGTAGGTTCGCGATATATATATATATATGTTACATTCTTATATTTATATGAATAGATAGATGGAAGGCCTCCATAGGCAATCCTTCTGTCACGTCTTCTGCTGCACTCACAACAAACCCATAAGTAATAATAATAGTAAGATGGAAGCGGTTTCCAACGAGCCGATAAATTTAATAAAAATGCATCGTGGTCGAGTGTTTGTGTGGAACGACGAAGGTTTAATTTTTAAGATTTTTTTTTTCAAAAAAATTTTTCAATTTAAATTAAAATTTTTAATTCGTTTATATTGAATTTTCAGACTGGTTAAAATTACGTAGTCTTAGAATAATAGGAAATTTTATTGGAAATTTGGCAACGTCGCCGAAACAAGATAAAATATCTGCACTTCCTTTGCAATTGCTAGACGAAGAAGTTACTCTGCTTCTCGAAAAAGGATATGCAATTTTAAAAACATTTCCTAGTTTATCAGAACCTCCAAATGAAAAATTAAAAGAAAAAAGTAAAGCGTATCGAGAAAGATTTTTACAAGATCAGGTACAAAATTATTTAAAAAACAAACCTATTTCCACCTTACGCGTATACGTAGCACACATTCTCAAGTTTTATTTCGATTAAAATTAAATTTGCAGGCGGAAATTTTAACGGAAAAAAGAAAATCAGACGTAGAATCAAAACTCGATCTTATAATTGAGGGTAAAACGAAAAAACGAAATGCAAACAACGAAGACAAAAACGAATCCGATGATTTTGACAGATTTAAAATATTACAAGAAGAATGTCAAAAGGCCGAAGCGATGAAATATACCGGTTTAGCTATTCAAATAAACACATGTAAATTTTTTTTTATAAAACAATTATCATTCCCATAAAAATTTTCCCAAAAAATATCCCAGTTTGCGAGTTAACCAAATGATTTACTCTTGAATTCGCGCGAATTCTCCATGTTCATTTGTATAAATTTCAACCGTGGTATTAATGCACATTTTTAATATTTAAGCGTTTCAGTGATCAGTGATACCTCATCATTAGTGCTCATGTGAATTTAATTGTTTTTTTTTTTTTTTTTTAATCAGGTGATCAGTGGGTTGAAAAAAATGATGAAAAAATGGAAACTTGGAATTATTGTACAGGTAATATTAAATATTTGATTTATAAGAATTTATGGGAAAAAGGTTTTTACATCACACCAGGTGGTAAATTTGGAGCAGATTTTCTAGCTTATCCCGGAGACCCGGTGAAATTTCACGCTTTTTTTATCGTGGTCTGTTTAAAAACACGCGAAAAACTTCAATTACAAGACGTTATAACTTACGGGAGGTTAGGACACAGTGTAAAAAAAACCGTCGTATTGGCATATTTAAATGATAATAATGATGTATCTTATTTTTCAATTCAGTGGTCAGGATTTTAAATCGACTACCAATATTTTTTTTTTAATATTTTTAAGTGCTCAACATTCATACAATCGTTTGTACGTTTAGTATTAAGACAATCGAAGAAAATTAGTAAAGTTTAATTTTTTAAAAAAAAATTCATAAAAAATTTTTTTATCACAATATCAATTCCCATTTTCATTTATCATCACAAAGCATAAAACGCAGCCATTTTTTTTTTAGAAATGTCAGGATAAAAAAAAAAAGGTAAATAAAAATAATACTTGATTAAAACAACAAGTACTCGGAAGAATACCCTTTTATTGTGATCTTGATGCGATACATTTTTT